AGGTGACAACAATAGTTCAAGGTTTAAAAGAAGAGAAATCTGTTAACAAGCAACTCTTTTATCATCTAGTCAATGCATAATTATCTCTAAACATAATCATATAACACTAAAGGCAATAAGGAGGTTAATTCAAGTTCAGAGACTGCCAAAGCTATCAAAAAAAAAACACTCAAAATCTGACCTATATTATTATTAAGCAAGTTATATATTTTGAAAATCCGAAAAATAATTTAATTTTTATTTGGGAAAAAGAATAATAAATTGAATTATTTTTCAATCTAATTTGTTTAGCTAAAGGGATGCTTTTGTTTGTCAGCTATTGAGAGAAGAAAACAGTTCATCATCATGTGACACAGAGTGATAAAAAGAGTCAGAAAAGGAAATATTAAGGGAAAAGGAGGACAGGAGAGAAGAGAAGGAAGGAGGGAGAGAGTTAGTCAGTTAGTTGGTCTAAAGCAAATAAAATTTCCCGTTAATAAACGGTTTCAATAATTATCACACAAGATAATGATTACGTAAAACGGTTATAATCAAAATGAAATGCATATTATCACATGAGGGATAATAAGTATTCATCGAAAATGTCGTCGTTGCAGTGGGCAGACATACGTACATATGTATATATATATATATATATATATATATATATAATTTCAAAATTTATCCTATCAAATAAACAGTTCTCACAGGATAGCCAGTGAAAATGATAATAAATCACAGAGACAGAACTGTAAATCAATCAGACGAAATTAGACAATAAATAACTCGGTTGAGCCACACGATACATCGTGAAACCTGAGACTAAAAAGGAAGAAATATGTCTACTACTACTACTGAAAGAAAATATAATTGTGATAGGCACATTTGTAGGCAAATAAAATCAACAGACAGATTTCTGAATAGAACCATTGAGAAGGGAATGATGAAGGTAGACTTTGTCAAAGATTGATATGCGTTAGAGAATCACTGAAAACCAGTGAACACTTTATAACGACTTTCTCTTAATTTCAGACTCTTGAGTAGCATGTAATCGTGATCCCGGTAGTAAACCAAACAAGGACTTTCAGGTTACGAGAGAAGCATACTGCCATTCATTCCACCAATGGATCGGGACCAGATGGCCATAAGTTATAATCATTATTAATTCCTGATACAGTACTACAAATACCCAATATCATCGGCAAGTATCTGACCTCACACACCACACGTGGTAGATCTCAGTCAGTCACGATTTCTCAGTGGAACTCCAAAGACGTCATCCCGTAGTCGGTCATCCATGAACAGTGGATTAATCTGTATGTGTTTTTATAGTGAAGATTTGATTAAATTCAAGGTATTTTCAAGTATTGGTTTCGTAGGGATTTTGTTTGATTGCATGGAGGATTTCATCATGAGCTGACATGAGTTAGAGAACCACTGGAAAGCCTGGGAGTGCTGGACAGCTGTTTCGTTTTAGTTTGGGACTCTTCATCAGTATGCACCCACCGGGTTTCGAACCCAGGGCCTTCTGGTTACAAGACGAGCTCGTAGACCATTAAACCACTGGGACCCGATCCAATGGTCCTTGAATTCGAGGTAGTCTTCGTCCCAAACTGAGACAAATAACTGTCCACTTGCTCACTAGTTTTCAATGGTCCTCTAACTGACATACGTTAGTAATAAAATCTTTACAAACTAAACCACTTGAAAAGAGAAGGAAATGGTTTCAATAAGTACATAAAGTAATTCATAACATAAACTTCCCGAATATGATATTACTAGATGATAGAAGAAAGCAGTCAAACATGTACCTTAACTTCATCGACTTCAAAAAGGCCTTTACCAGACAGTGTTGACAGAGAAGTAATTTGGAAACTACTTCAACACTACGGCGTGCAACGCTCAAGTCTTTATCAACCTCATTCAACAGCTATATGACAATGCCACGTATAAAGTGATACACACGGGGAAACTCAGTGGGGCGATCGAAGTGAATACAGGTGTAAGACAAACTGGCTGCATATTATCACCCACGATGATATTCTTAATTTTGGTGGACTGGATTATGCGGAAGATTGAGGATTGTGAGTGAAAAGATAGGAATACGTTGGACCGACAAGAAGACGCTGAAAGATATGGATTTCGCAGTTGATTTGTGTTTAATGTCACATAAACTGGAAGACTTGCAGGCGAAAACCAACAAATTAGCAGAGGAGGCCGGCAGTGAAGACAGGATTGCAGGTGAACATAGAGAAGACGGAGGTGATGAAGATGTTTGACAACCAGCAGCAATCACTGCTAACGGGAAAGATTTGACAGAGGTTACTTCCTTCAACTGTCTAGGAAGCATCGTTTCAACCATGGGATGAAAGGGTAGAGATGGCAGAGGTGGTCAGAATCGGAAAGGTAACATACGCCGTCATCAACCTGAAACCAGTTTGGAAATCTTCTGCTTCACTCAGCCAGCACAAAGAACAATATTCGGATTTTCATCATCAAAGTTAAGTCAGTCAGTTCTTCGATACGGGTTAAAAACTTGCACTGAGTGTCACGAAAAGGATTTCCAACAAGTTACAGACCTTTATCAACTGCTGTAACCTTCGCTGGCTGGCTCCATACTGAAGATCAAATGGCCTGCAGACAAGAAACAATTAGTAACAAGAAACTCTGGCTGGGAACAAACCAACAGGAGAGAAACAGTTTCTCAACAAATATGTAGGAGAAAATAGAGATGGATCCGGCATACATTGAGGAGATTGTCAAATGACACCTCGTGCAATGCAGGCCATTGCAAGAGTGGAATCCGAATGGGAAGCGACGACTGAGTAGTCAATACGAGGTTGACATGGAGGAGATCGTGTGAGTTGAAGGAGGAGATGAAAGATTATAGGCAATCTTGGACCCAGATGAAGAGAACAACAGAAAATAGAACAAAAATGGAGATGTGTTGTTGAAGCCCTATGTTGCACTCGGAACCCAAGGGAATAATAATACAAAGTAAATAATAAGATGATAGAACACAATTTGTTATGATCACTTAGAAAATTTCTACGAACGAAAGTGGTCATTTAACTATAGACTTCTGTACAGGGAGTTGTTAGTAATTTCGAAAATAAGTCATCTCATCTGTTACCGATGAAGATAGGCTTATTTAAGTGGCTGGTCAAACAAGCAAACATCTTAAGTACCACGTCAGAAAGCCTAAGTAATGCAATGAAACAGTTAGAAGGAGTGGCGTTGCTAATCAACTACCTATAAAATTCATTAAAAGATTCAAATCTCACAATCAAAGAAAAAATATTATTGAAACTACTGACCATAACATAAAAATAAATGTGAAGTATCAGCAATGCTGCATATAAGGAAGGAAAATCACAAACTCTATGTGAAACCCTTCATAAAGTAGGAATTATGCTGGCATTCAAACCTACAAGCTCACTCAGGTACAAACTGAAAGACCCTACCGATCCGATAAGGCAAAATAACATCATTTCTATGAAATACCTTACAATGACTGTGACATCAACTACATAGTTCACTCAAAATTACTTAGGTGGTCGGAAAGTAAGCATTTGGTTGTGTAGGGTGACTGATACCAAAAGTATGACTAACTAAGCAATCACAATGCATGCATTGACACACAATCATACACACTAAGGGTGAGAGAGACCTACACTTCTAAAAGTAATGTAGTTAGGTGGGGGATAGGTTGACCACATTTGCAATAGAAATGATGCAACACCAATAAAAATGATATGGAAAATACAACTACCAATAAAATCAAAAAAATTAGAAATAATGAAACTACATAAACAAAATCTAAAAGTTATGTAAGCACTTTGATGTAACTGTGAGCGATAAATTGTGCTTGAAACATCAACAATAAGTAATACTGTATCACTACATGTTTTATCGAACGCAACAGCCCAAAGCGAAAACAGGAAAAATAAAACGAGGGAGATGTGAAAGAAAGTTAATAAATGTCTAAGAACAAATATGAATTTCAATTGTTAGATTGTTGTCAAGCATCAACGTCAGTCAAAGAGATCATTGAAAACCGGAGGGTACTGGGTAGCTGTTTCGTCCTCATCTGCGACGCCTTATTAGTGTGCACCCACTACTCTACTCTGTCAGGGATCGAATCTAGGACCTTAAGCTTACAAGGCCATGCTCGTTGATCAGTTAAGCCACTTCGGCTGGAATTCCTATAAACTGAATAATCAACAATGAGATGGTATTTTTTCAGTAGTAGTAGTCTGCACAGATTTCATTGATTTCAAGTCCACTCAGTAACAGGACCAATGAAGACTATTTCGTCCCAGTTTGGGACTCTTCAGTAGTATGCACCTACCTAGTTGTATATGAACACAAATACTCACCAATGACATTGGCTGTCGATTGCATTGTATATGGTAAATTAGCAAAAGTTAGAATTCATGGGCCCGTCATTAGATCAATGAACCCATCTCATAATCTGAACTCCCTAAAAGTTCGATCCCTAGTTTTAGAGTCATGGATGAAGAGTCAGTTCAAAACTAAAATGAAACAGTACTAGTTTCCAACGATTCTCTAAATGAATTCAGTTTATGCATGATCCAACTTAAAGCTAATCAAATCCCTACAGATGAACACTTGAAACCAGATTTCTTTTTCTGCCATTGTTCTTTCTTCATCTCTCTTTGTCTCTCTCTACTTCAGTCATATAGAAAGCAGAAGAAAAATTAAATTTAAAAGAAAAAGAAATAAGAAGGTAAAACAAAAACAAACAAATTCAAAGACATCACAAGATGGACACTTATAACCAACTTTTAATTCAATCACTTAAGAGTAAGGTAACGAATAGTCAAATCTGTTTCTATGCTATCAACCAAAAAAAACTACTTTTTTCCTAAAAAATAATAAACAAATAACTATATAAGTGGTATATTAATGGACACTGATACATAAAGACGCACACTGACAGATACACGCACACACACAAACAAACAGATACACATATAGACAATCATTTTTCCACTTACGAACAACATCAAGTAAATCTGGATAAGCTTCATAGGTGATTAATGGGACAGGCAATTGACGTAGAAATGATTTAATCAAACTTGTCAAAGCATTGATATCACGTACACGAGCTTCAGATATATTGGCCAATTCTGGATCTGATTAATTGAAAAGACAAAAACGAAAGAAAAGAAGAAGAAATCAAATAGCAATATAGATACTATCATTTAACAAAAAAGAAAATATTCAATGGGTTACATTGAAACTATCCTGAATGACTATGTATGTGGCAGCTTAATTTATACAAACAACAAAAAAGACTTTTTGTGTACCAGATTATTATTTTTTCGAGTTGATCACGGACTGATATCAGCTAGAGAACCATTGAAAACCAGGGAGTACTGGACAGCTGCTGTTTCACCCTAGTTTGGGAATCATCGGCAGTACGCACCCACTGGGATTCGAACCCAGGACCTTCCGGTTACAAGGCAAGCTCGTATACCATTCAGCCACTGGGACCCGAATCAATGGCTCATGAATTCTAACTTCTACCAATTCGTGATTTTAGCGCGACCCCAACTATTGTCGTTGGTGGGACATCCATCCACACACGTGACTTCTAATTGAACCTCACTGGTCACGACTTCTCACTAGAACTACAGGAAGCTCCAACCTGTAACAAGTCACTAGCGAGCATCAGAATAATTTTCTATAGTTTGGTTTGTAAGGATTAGTTATGTTTTACGAGTTGAACCGGAAGGTCCTGGGTTCGAATCCCAGTGGGTGCGTACTGCCGATGATTCCCAAACTAGGATGAAACAGCAGCTGTCCAATACTCCCTGGTTTCCAATGGTTCTCTAGCTGATATCAGTCCGTGATCAACTCGTAAAACATAACTAATCCTTACAAACCAAACTATAGAAAATATTATAATTTCATCAATTTGTGTTCCGAGTGGAAAATAGAGCTTCAAACTTCAGCTGTAAAGCTTGAGTAGCGGTGATATTCTTCTTCACAGTGTCGGGGAGCTAGTCTCATACTTGACTTGCCTTTTTCTGTTGCACTTACTGGCGACTAATTGAAGTTTGGATAGCTATCAGCCAAAAATCGAACCTGGAGCGCGTATGTGGTTAGTGAGCATTATAACCGAACTACAATGAACTTTAGAAAAAATAAGTGGAATAATGAGGATTCAATGGATCTATGAGTTCGTAAAGAATACATACAGTTGTGCCGCTGAAGGCTACTCCGAGTCATATCACTTTGCAGTGTCTCCAGATATCAATTCTTTATGTCTCGAGGAGCCTAACCAGACATTCTATACGCCTCTGCGAGGCTCACACTAATGATTTCAAGGATTGATGCCACGTTTCTCTCTGGCCAATCCCAACTCTTTTCCAACTGAATCCAACTTAATATTGCTCAATGAGAAAGGCGGTAGCTCGGGATGAGTAACAACACGTGTCCTAACCGTTTTAGTTGATGCAGCTTTATAACGTCATCAACTGATTTTCCCTCTTTAGCTTACACTCTACGCCTAACCGCAGTATTACTCACCATATTATTCCACTTAACACAGGAAATGGTTAGCACTGGGTATTCCAGACGGACACCAAGCAAGTGGTCGAGGTTAGACTCCTGGCCGGTATATTTCTAAACCTCGCATAGCCTATAGCGAATTCGGTGAAGAGGGAAGGGTGATATGTGAGCCTAACAACTCCACTCTGCAAAAATGACAAACCCCTCTACTGAAACTTGAAAGTTTAAAGCTTGAATCCCAATATCTCACTGAGAGCGCCAAAGAATGAGAAAAAAACATTAATTTTCACCCACCCACTCTCCTTTCCGAGTAAATTTGACCAATTCAACATTATTTTACTCCTGTTTTCTCGTTTTGTTTGTTGGTCTCACTTTTTATAGTGCACAGTTCAACTGAACTTTATTTGTCGGTCGAATTAACAGATAAAAAAGCTAAATTCTCCTAAAGTTTACCGAAGCAATCTCAATTAAACGCCTGAAACCCGGTTAATATGTTCAGAAAAAAGCAGTTATCAGTTTTTTCCTGCCCATCCTGGTAACTGGATGGCTTTAGGTATGATAGAGAAGATTTGTAGCTCAGGTTGATGATTTTGGTGTGGTTCTGTTCTCTGAGCTGGATAGCTTTTAGATTTCTCCACGAGTTTATTAATCATCTCTCCCGATTAGTAAACTCGTGGTGAAATCTAAAAGCTCACTTCAAATTGAAGTATGCGCTGAAGATGTCACCTAGAAGGGTGATGAAAGCTTCGCAAATTAACTATCCAGCTCAGAGAACACAACCACACCAAAAAAGTGAATGGCTTTATTCTCTCTTTCATTTGATCACACAATCTTTGGCTTTAACATCATCACCCCCCTTTGATATAGCGTAATTTTGCTCATCTCTTGTTCCGATGATTTGAGTTGAGTACATTGTTATCCAATTTATTAGTTACTAATCGTCTTACGCACCTCTCGTCTTTATTACATAACTCCTTCACCATTGTATGCATACATTCACCTTGTTTAAACTTCACTCCCTGTGGAAAAACTACATAAGCGTAATTTTCTGAGCACTGTTCACTAAGTTCGGAACCTCCTGTAGACTGATATCATGTGTAAATTGCAAGTATGTCAAAACTTTTCTGTATATAAACTTAATAATTTAGCCTGGCTGTAAGCAGCTGATGAGAAGTCAACGAAATAAATGATGATGGCATATTATTCTGCAAAAACTGTTGTTCTTGATTTATTCAAATTACGCATGTATGTAATTGACGCTTAACAATGGTAAGATGTTTACTTTATACAAACCTTTATATTCTGTAGGCTATATGGTTATCATGTAATATGAATAATAATTTTGATATATTTCAGGTAGTCTTGATAATAAAACATTCAAATTATCTATCTGCACGTGCATATGCTAAACCAGGGTAGAAATTTGAGACACCACAGAGATTGAGATAATGCTTGTAGATCTTAAGGCCAGCATGACCTAGTAATAACATTGACCTCCTTTTTTAAATTTGTATAGTGAGATGAATCATTTCGCGTAAGATGGCTGCTAACTGGCTGATTGACTGACTGCTGACTAACTGACTGACCCGATTAATTTGTGCATACATACTACATATGTATATAGTAAATAAACAGATAATGCCACACTCACTATAGACTCTGTATTGAAGACTTAGTTAATCAATTTGCACACAATCCACAAAATTTTACAACTGAAACTATTTTGCTCAATATTATATTAGTCATAATAAATTTATACCGATAAAGTTAATATGCAAATAAGAACACAGATAATTCCATGAATATATAACTACTACTACTATATACTATAAATACACAAGGCTGATACTTCTAATAATATTATCTTACGATTAAATTATAACAATACTGATGATAAATAATAGTTTTGCAGGGATTTGTTTTGTTTCAAGCCTGACCACGGATTGATATCAGTTAGAGAACCATTGAAAATTAATCTGATGCTCCCTAGTAGTGACTGACTGGCTACACGACGAAATTTCCCCGAGTTCTAGTGAAAGGTCGTCACCACTGCAGTCCATCCAGTCCTGAGTGACAATAAATACTCGCCAATGACATTGGCTGGTGCCAGTCACGTTAAAATCACAAATTGGCAATAGTTAGGATCCATGGGCTGGCCATTGAGTTGGGTCTCAGTGTCTCAATGATCTACAAGCTTGTGTTATGACCGAAGGTCCTGAGTTTGATCCCTCATCAGCCATTGGGTGCGTACTACCGAAGAGCCACATACTAGGACGAAACAGCTGTTTAGTATTCACTCTCCTACTGGTTTTCAATGGTTCTCTAAATGATATCAATCCATGGGCAAACATGAAATAATGAAACAGATCGTAAAGTAAACGTATCTTTGTTGTGGAATATTACATAACATATTACACAATCCATAAATGCAAAATATGGCTTCAATGGTACATCTCCCCGTCGCACTCAGTCTCCTGTTATTACTTACACCTAGCCACACGATTGATCACAATCTATTTCTTTATTTCCTCTTCACATGAGCGTAGACTGTGACGTCATTATTCAACGGTTTCTTCAGTGTATGCTTGACTAACATCTATTGTCTTCTGAATATTTGTTGAAAATTAGGTCCTTGGATGGATCACTTCATTGCCAGATTTCGTTGTTGCCCATCTGTTCTAACCTGTCATTTGATCTTCAGTATCGAACAAAAGCAACTATTGATGGAAGTCTGCAACAGTCTGTTGGAAGTACTTTTGCTGATACGCGCACCAACTCTTCTCCCTCTCACTTGACTTCACTCCCTGATGGAAAGTCTTAAAACTAAGGAGCAAAGTTGTTCAACGAATTTAATTTCGAAGGATACTTTCAAGTATATATCGGATAGGCAAACATGACGGGTATTACTTGGCTGGCAGTTGAATCTAGGAGGTATAGACTGCCTTAGTTGAGGTCCTCGGGACAGTGAAAACTAATGGTTCGAGGCTGTTAGTGATATGGTCTAAAATCGTTCTCATTGGCACTAATGCATTTACTCTCTGTAATCTCTCAGATCCATTGAGTCGTCATATTGCTCTATGTAATTCATTCATTCTCCCGTACACTTCTATCCATTATAGTTCTTTTGAATTTGTTTACTTTTTTCCTACCTTTGTGTGCTATATGGGGTGTGGCAACTTGAACTGCTGCAAGTTTGCACAAACTACTATGTTGGAAATCAGTCAGCAGTCAGATTACAGGATGTGCATTTCGATCTGTTTGAGACTCGTCAGCCTAATGCACCTGAATCTCCAATGAATGGTAGTGTTTGGCGTTTGAGTCTTTATGGGAACACTGTCAGCCATTAAGGATGCAGGTGCATTAAGCAGACGAGCCCCAAATACAACGAATCAAACCGTCTTGGACCCCACTGATAGCTACATCATCAGTATCGTCGAGGGGTCCGTAATAGGACAGAAGCGAAGCCAACATGTTAACAAAAGCCAGGCATTTTGGTCCGTTAACAAGACACGCACAATCGCCAAAATACACACAAACACAAAGAAAAACTTAAACTGAACCAACCTTTATCAAATTCAATACGTAATTCTTCGACTAGATCATAATTTCCAGGGATACGATAAAGACCTTCACAGAATAATCCACCACGACGTTCTATTTCTTGGATACATTTAATGAGAAGTGTTGGCACAGCCCTAAAAATAGGCAAACAAAAAAACAACAATTACAGCAATAAGCATAGGGACAATTCGAAGTTGAACTATTTACTTGAAGAGATAAAACTGCACACTTATCGATTCTTTATTTTTTAAATTTAGAAATTGAAAAACACTTAATGCGACCACTTTTATTTGTTTTGCTGTCCTTTTATACTTTAAAAAAAAGAGTTTTTCCAGATGTTAAATAATGTAAACAAACAAAGAATTCAATACGCCTTCCCATTTAAATTCATGCTGTTTTGAAAGCATTTACAAAACAGCAATAATAATGACCCGTTTCGATATGGAGAAAAAATATTGACTTTTTCTTTTAGTTGTTCTTCAAACAACAAAGGGGGAAACAGTAATAATTTAACGGGTCATGAAAATAAAAGGTAACAGAAGACAATTGGAAGTGGAAAGCACCACTTTCAATGAACAATCTTTTTCAAATGCTAAGTATTCGTAAACAAGTAAATATGTTCGTTAATAGCTAATAGAACAAGTCTGAAACCATTTTATGCTCGCCCAACGTTCTTTAGTTGTTGTTTTGCTTTTATACTAGAAAATTAACAGTTCAAGGGTGTGTGTGTGTGTGGTGGTGAAAGAAAGGATGTTTGCATTCAGTTCCACAGATATCTGTGAACATAATAGTATTTTGTTCTCTAACGGAGAATGTTAATCAATCGCTGGCAGGATTTCCTAGTAACATTTTCTTCATTTGTTTGAGTTTCGAGTGGAAAATAGGGTTTTAAGCTTTGACGTTTCAGCAGTGAGGTTTTGCTAGCCTAACGCCCAACTTTCCCTCTTTACCCGGCTGGATTACTAACGGCTAAAGGAGATTTAAGAGTGAGTTGGTCAGGAATCGAACCTCAGCCATGTGCGAGGGTGGCGAGCATTCCACCACTTAAACATCGATGCGTTTTAATTTAAAAAAATGTCTATGAAATAGTCTTTTTCATGAACAAAACGGTCCTACGAACAGATTTATATCCTCACGCTGTCGTGTAGCCACCGGTTCATAGCCTCTACTGCGTAAGTCTTATTTACTGCCTTCACACGGACAGTGTGCCTCAGAAAAGTGAAATGGCGAATTCAAACGTCTGGAGCTTGCAATCGAACTGGTGGACATGCTGGTTTACTTGGGAGGAGTGGAAAACCTTAATTCCAAACATATGGTGTACATGAACTCCAGAATCCGAACGGATCGAATGACATATGGACGTGTTTTAGTCCCCGGGAGGCAGAACACAACTCTTGATGCTGCTTTATTGCCTGGTGGATCAGACCTGAAGTCGAAGACTTTGGGAGTAGCCCCTTAAGATAACCACCTTCCTCGGTTTGGATGTCCGAGCAGTATCGTGCCATCGTACAAACTATAAGATTTTGTGTGGCGCATCTCTTGGTAGCCATAAGGTATCAAGTTTGTGTTTTAATAACTTTAATAATAATAATAAGCTATAAGTATGTTTAATGAAGTTTGAGAGGCGTGTTTCATTCCATCTGGGACTCATCATCAGAATGTACCTGCATCCTAGTAAGTAATGGTGTTCTTTCCACTAATACCTGAACCTAGCATTTGTTGTTTCAAACACAAAACGCCATGAAAGACATCACCTTTTCGGCAGGTAACAGTTAATAATAACTGAAACTTTACATTCCATACTTCTTTAACGAACAAATGTATAAATTAGTCATAATGACATCCGTTTTTTCGTATTTATTTCAATTTGCATACAAAATTAGGGTAAGGATGCATAAAATGAACCTCTATAGCCTTTCTTTTCCATCTGGTTCCACGGTTGACCACAATTTTTTATTTCCTCCTAACATAACCTCCTTTATGTCAACCCTCAGACGCCCAGTTCATAGTTTCCCATTGAGATTCCAGTCTAGAGCCTGGAGCATGCTGTCTCCCAACGGTCTCCTTAGCGTATGTCGAATTCATTTCAGCCTTTATTCTGCACATTTGTTGGGTAAAAGACTCCAGGTCGGTTCACTGCCACAGTTCCTTGTTGTTTATCCTTTCTGCCATCTAACCTTCAGGAATGAGGAGTGTACAGAGTCAGCTACTGATGAAAGTCTGTAGCCTGTTAGAATTGCTTTTCATGATGCGTGAGGCAAGTCCCTGAACCATACAGAAGCACTGACTGAATCGACATTAATGTTGAAAATCCCAATCTTGATGTAGTTGTGTTCTCTGAGCTGGATAATTTGTTCGCGAAGCTTTCATTGACCGACTAAGCAACATCTTCAGCGCATACTTCCATTTGAAGTGAGCTTTTAGATTTCTCCATGGGTTTATGAGTCATCTCTTCTGGAGGGTAACCTGGAAGGTGATTGGTTGTCTTTGTATGTTTTCACATCCTCTAGGCTACTTGTATTGGTATTGATTGTTTCCTTGACCTGAAGCTTGATCCTTTGTGTATGAGATTTCCTTCTTATCAATTTGTAGATTTTGTCTATGTCAATGTGTCTATTGATTAACGATTCACTGGAATACCAGACTTCTTAAAATCCTATAGCATTCTTGATGTTTTTCCTCTGTCTAATATTTGAACGTTGTCCCAGCCGAATTAAAGTCAGTAGTTGCCTGTATGCAGCCATATAAGGGAGTGTATACGATTCCCTTGGACGGCTAGCTATCAGTCAACAAGAAAATCTCATGCACAAAGAGTCGAACTTCAGGTCACAAAAAAAACAATGGCACAGTGGTTAGGACTCTCGCCGACCATGAATATGGTCCGAGGTTCGATCCTCTACCGACGCACACCTGATATCTATGGTCGGCCTGCAAAATTTGGGCTACCGATATCACATGCTGGAAATTCCATACCTGTACCAAAAAATACGGTGTGGAATCAAGCTGTAATAAAAAAAAATCAAGTAGTCTAAAGGGTGTGAAAACAAACAAAGACAACCAATCACGTTCAACGTTACCCAACAGGAGAGATGACTTATAAACTCGTGGAGAATTCTAAAAGCTCACTTCAAATTGAAGTATGCGCTGAAGGTGTTGCCCAGTAGGGAAATGATAGCTTAGCAAATAAACCGTCCAGTTCAGACAACACAACACATCATCCACCTTAGCTACAAATCTTCTCGATTATATCTAAATCCGAATCTTTTTCCTCATGCTGAGTGCAGCAGATTTCCACACTAATTTCACGTCAATGGCAGTATATATATATATATATATATATATATTAACGTCTACAGATGTCAATAATTTACATATGCCATAGAACAGGAAGGGGAAATTAAACAGAAACAGAGATATATATAAAATATACAAAAGAGTGGGATGAAATGAATGATAGACACAAGTAGCAATTATGTGTCTGAAAAAAAGAATTACAGTGGTTACATTTGCACTGAAGTTGTTGGGTGGTGGTGGTGGTGGTATTTCTATTTTGGGACACTTGAATAAATCCGTATCACAATGACTGTCTGAAACCCTGGATGATACATTTTATTTTTATTGTAAAACAAAAAACCTATCCCCACTGGTATATCTATGTGGTTGTATTTCTGAAATATATCTATCTATATATTGTAATAATAGAGGAAAACGTCGATTGATTGGACCGAAGTGCTCGGTCTTAGGTTGACATATCGGCTCCTTGTGCAGATGCTTCGATGATGCCTGGTCATGTGACCTGAAGTCAACTGGTGGGTAGTGACTAGCAGTGGAATCCGCTTGGAAGAAAAAAATCTAAATTGAATTAAATAATTAATAAAACCTGTTGCACAAGAGGTGACTCTCGTGGCCCAAGTGGTCTAGTGGGTGACGCTTTGGCACTTGAAATTACGGGCACTGGGTTCGAACCTCGGTAGGAACACCATCACTTACTGGAGAACGCAGATACATTCAGATGATGAGTCTAAAATAGGACGAAATGCGCATCTTGGATTCCACTGCTAGTCACCATCCACCACCAATTGACTTCAAATATAGGAAACCATTTAGAAATGATAGTTCGTTAAAAACAAAGCATATCACTTGAACCTAATGACTTATTCCTTGTAAATCATTGTATAGTATGAGCTTAAACTGTACATACACATGATCCCTGTTTTTATCAGTATTAACTTGATTGTGTTGCACAATACTATGATGATGATGATGGATAGATGGAAAACGCATGATTCAACTTGTCAAGTGTTACAAAACTGTTGACAAGAGAGTTGTAGTCAAACTCAAACAAAAGCGTAAATAACGTGTAGTCATGTGAACGAACGTGTGAAATAATAATATTTTTAACTGTCACACACATAATCAGTCACACGATACCAGCGTGAAGCACATGTTCATCATTATATAACAACCAACATTTATGATTTTGAATAGAAAAGGATGAATTCAATGCCTTCAGATTGAGCATGAAATCAGTTAAGTTTTAAGACCTTCAAATTCAAATTTAACGCCAATATCTTTTTTTCATTCAACAGTTACATGATGATGCCTTTGAGAGTAAAACAAGGCTGCCTACTAAAACCAATGATATTGTTGATTGTAGTGGATTGGATTATGTGGTAGAACGTGAAGAGCAAGAAGACAGGAATACGTTGGGCCGATAGGAAGACTGTAGAAAATCTGTACTTCGAGGATGACTATCTACAAGCGAAAACCAACAGTTCTATATTAGTTTGTATATTAGATGTATCACACAGTGAAACAGCATTATTTACTGGATGATGTTTCCAACAAAATTTATTACTGTTTATAATCATATCACTTATGATCACACGACTTTGACACTTGAGTTTTATAGTTTCCTTTGTTCTCTCCTATTTGTCGTAGGGGTAGTAGAATTTTCCAGATGTCCGGGTGGACAGGTGTTGAATCATTCCTATTACATGTATTTGCAGTTGATTCGATAAACGAAGCTTCTGTTATCAATCTCCCCCTCCACCCTGTGACATCAGATTTTAAAACCGTCATCCTATCCCATCCTATTGTATGGTTGTGTGTAACTGCATGTAGTGAGTGCTAT